AGAAGAGCAGTGCTCCCACCGCCCATCCCGGGGATGCACAGGGCGTGCCCGGAGCTCCAGGGGAACAGACTGCATCTCCTGGAGATCTGAGCAGATCCTCACTTGGCGGGGAGGGGAGCTGCTGTGGGAAAGTGCTGCGGGGCTGGCCGTGGTGGCAGGAAGGAAATTCCCCCAGCGGAGCCGCCATGGCCAGGGCTCCGCCGCGGCAGCTTCAGGGCCTCAGAAATAACCCAGCCCTCCCCAGGGAGGCACTGCTAAGGTCACTGCTTTTTCCCTTGAACTTTCCAGATGAAGGAAGCAATAGCAACAGCACAGATTTGGCCGGAGATCAACTGTACTGACAACAGTCACAGGATTGAACTCAGAAGAAAAGTCCTTTGTGTGTGTTGGAGTTATCACCAGATGGGCTGGGCAGCACTGGGGAGCTCTGCTCAAAAATATTCCACATGGGCAAAGCCATCGGAGCTGGAACCCATGGCAGATGGAACCCGCAGTAACTAATTCCACTGCTTAGACCGAGTTAAAAACTGAGGCAAATGTTGGTGCCCATTAAAAATTCAAATGTTAAACTGTATCCTTCAGCAGACTGCTGAAGTTGAGAATAAGAAACAATTCTGATTAAGAATTAAGGATGGAGAGTCTATAAAACACTAATTACCATTGTACTTACAGGGAATTTGGCCTGTTGGGCTTAATTACTTCTAGTTCAAGATCACTCGAGTTCAGGCTGGGCTGGGGAGCGCTGTTGGAGTTGAGAAAGCTGTTTGCATTTGAAGAGACGACAGATTCCAGGCTGGAGTTGATGATGCTGTTCCTATTCTCCTCTAAAAAACACCAAAACCCAAGAATCATCAGCTGCCACTGCGGCCAAAGTGAAGAGCAAATGGCTGGGAAGGCATTGAGCATTCCCAGGAAAGCCTGTGCCAGTGCACACAGGGACATGTCCCCAGAGCTCGGTTAGTTACAGACACATTATACATTAAACCATAAGAAATACCAGGTACTCTTTGGCTCCTTTGGGTTCCAGATGCAGTGAGCACTGACAGCACTGTGCATCTCAAAGAGCCACCGAGCACAGGCCCCCTCCTCAGCTCTGCCAGGCCACCCAAAATCCCATTAACTCATTTCCAGGAGCTGCCTTTGCCACTGGAGCAGTAATTGCACTTGTGAGAAGCAATTAGCAACGCTGATGGCACGAGAGCAGCCCTGGGCAGAGAGTGGCTGCTTCTGGGATGCTGCTTTCCTGAAAGAAGGCACCAGCTGGAAAACACACAGTCCTACTGCAAGGATACCTCTGTCCAAAGTTATTTTTGTGGTGCACAATAACACGGACAAACCACAACCCAAAAGCATGCAGTGAGAGGGAATCCTTGCTCCCAAAGTCTTTAAATTCCACCTCTTTTTGAGTGAGGAGAATGTGCAATAATAATTTGTATCCTGTGCACATATAAAGGGAGTAAAAGAGTGCAAGAGGAACTCCTGGGTGGTGTGAAAGGTTAATCCTGAGCACACAGCAGAGAGGAACTGCCATAAAACAGTCTGGCAGGAGGGTTGTCTTGGGGTGCTGGTGCAGCTCTGCCATCACCCCAAAGGGAAATGCCACATCAGCCCTGGAGCTGCTGCATTTCCCAGGCACCTGGACAGAATGAGCACCTGCAGGGCAGCAGGACAGGGCTTGGTTTAGCTCAGGTTGAGCTTATCTTCCAGAGGCGAGCCAAGGATGGGTGACACTGATACATGTCAACGTGTTCTGAAAGTGGATTTCATTAATCTCCATCTGCAATGAGCCACCATGGGAACAAGCAGCACAGACATTTCTCTGTCCCCAGCTCTGCAAAAGTTCAACCCTCAGGGCACCAGCACCCTGGGACAAAAAAGATGATCCATGCAGAAGACAAAGAGGGAAAAGTGAAGAAAAGCAGAGTACTGACCTCCACACAAATACTGACAGGCAGATGTGATAGCCAGCAGATGAAAAAACAAAGAAATTAAGCTGTCTGAGGACCTAAAAACCCCAAATCCCTCTGTTTTTGCATGCGCCAGAGGAAGTTTTAGGCAGGCCATGAGAGGCCACCTGTACACAGCTGGGCAAGGCCAGGAACCACCTGTGCTGAGCCTGAGGAGCTGACCTGAGCCCCTGGAGCATGCACTGACACCAGCTCATTATTTGCAAACATCTTCTGCCCAGGGCTGGAGGCTGGGAATAAGCTCCATAAGCTTGGCAGCTCAGTGTGGATTGTCCCTCTAATCTCCAGAGCAGCCACCAGCCAAGAGTGGAGTCCTTGTCAGCCACAGAGCTGGGAGTGAATCAGCTCAGGGGGATGAATGGCAGAATCTGAAACTCCTGCTTCATTTTATTTCCTCCTTGTTAAAAGGCTGAAACTGTACCTTGCTTCATGCTTCTGAAAGCTCATGTGAAGGATTCTTAGCTGGAAGATTTGATTTGGTCTTACAGCTGCAGGAGCAGAGCTCCCCATCAGCTCAAGAGCATTTCCAGCCCGCAGAGAAAAGAGCCTTTCACCCCTTACCCAACCTTCCTGTCTCTAGTGGGAAGTCAGGCAGGCAGAGCCACTGGAGCCTCCCCAGAGGCTTTGTCTCCAGGAACCCTGACAGCTGATCCAGGGCACCTTGGTGACAGTGACCCCAGGGAGCAGAGAGGGGATGATGGTGTTTGCCGTGTTGGTGACACTCGTGTCACAAGAGCTACTCCCTGGGTCAGATGTGGATAAAAATGTAACTGTTTAACAACAAAATAATCACTAGAATCATAGATTAATCATGATTATCTAATCTGCTCCCTGTTGTGCTGAACACGATAGTTTTTGAATTAGACACAGCTTGGTATGGTGAATGCTAGTGAAAATAGAAAGATACTGGACTTGGATGAACAGGTTTCAAGTGATGGAAAATCCACTGTCCCACTCCACTTCTTTTTATGTCAAACTGCTCCCAGTCTTAAAAACTGTGCACCCTGCTCCCATTTAGAACACTTCTAGCTTCAATTTCAACTTTCAATTTCTGTGCTGCTCAGCTGGGCTTGAGCTGCTGCCTAAGCCCTTGTGCTTCACCCTGACTTCAGAGCCTTGGTCTGTCTCCAGACCAGTAAGAAAGGAAAGGAAGAAGAAAAGAAGAAGAAAGGAAACCTCACATATTTCTCGTGATGTGCAGCAGGGAAGGCAAATAAAACAGCAGTGGCTTCCCAAAGACACAGGAGGTTATAGACTGTCAGGAGGAACACCAAGAAAATGTTGTTTCACATGGGAATAAATAAATGCAGAAATAGAGAAATGAGCTCAGTTCCTCTCCAGGCATGGGGAGGATGGCACATGGAGAGCCTGGAGGCTGACAGGCCCCTGCTTAGTTAGCAGCAGATAAATTACTTGGGCTGAAAGTTTTCAAAAGCAGTGTTTGATATTTGAGGCTTCACTGAGAGCCGTCCCACACCATTTCCAGAGCACGCTCGGGGCACCTCTGCTTCCTCAAACCCACGCGGATCTTTCCGAAAGGAGAGTGCCTGCTAGTTAACAGTAACCTAATCAGACAAACCCACGTGTCTGGGGAGTCAGCAAAGCCCACAGCAGCCACTCTGTGCGCCCTGGGGAGCTGCCCATCCCCAGCCCTGCCCTGCTCCACTTGTGCTGTCCTGCTCACCACGAGTCTCTCCTGCTTTTTTACCAAACTGGGAGAGCTCCCTGTGTGCAGCTGCCTGGCTCCAGGAGCACATGGGCAGCAAGGACCAGAGAGCTGGGAGCTGGGTTTACTCTGTAACATGAAACAACAGCCTGAGCAGACACATTTCTGCCACCCCATGAGCAGGGCTGGGGCCTTGGCTCTTTCACCCAAATATCTGGAGCATCAATTAGTGACAGAAATGGAAAGATGAGCTCCAACACTTTTAAACTGCCACGGGACATAATCCTCAGGAAAATGCCGAACCTCCTGGCCGAGTTTTCCTGTCTGTAAAAGGCAAAGTGCCCGAGGGCATCCCAAAAGGGCCGCCCTGTGGTGGCTGCCCTTGCCACAGGTGTGGCACCGCGTCCTGGCAGCTGATGGCAGCGATGACGGGCCCAGGAACATGAGAAGGGGACACGCAGGGGCCCGTCAGGTGGGGAGGGGACAGCAACACTTTATCCTGTGCTAAGGCAGCCTCATGCAGAGCCCCAGTTAAGGGCTTGGATGCCAGGAGAGATTCCACTCCCCACCAACACGACAGCAGAGGAAACCAAAGCCTGACCCTGTTATGGAATCAGCCCTTCCACTGACAGCAGGAAAACTGCAGGGGAATGGCAGGGGATGGTGGGGGATGGCAGGGGAAGGGCAGGGCGATGCCAGGGCGATGCCAGGGCAATGCCAGGGCGATGGCAGTCTGTGAGGCACGGCTAGGGCGCAGCTGGAGGCAGGCAGGGAGGCACTCACGCTTCTCGTTGGGCTGGGCCGTGTGGAACAGCGTCAGCGGGCGCTCGCTGCACGAGGGAGGCTTCGACTCCGTGCTCTTCTTGCGCGATAACAGCAGCTGCGAGTTCGACGCCGGAGCCTCTGGCACCGTGTTAAATATCTGTTAGAAATAATAAACAAGTTGTTCTTTGGCATCACCCCGTGGAACAGGACAGCTGCCCACCTGCCTGGGCTGCACCACTCCCTGGCGCAGCCTCTGAGGAGGACACACACTCAACAGGGCAACGTTTTGGGGACAGATTCCTAAATTCCACATTTCCACTCTGCCTGCACTCCTCTTTTCTTCACCCAAAAGGTACACTGCAAACAGGGAAGAACTCTGGCACTCTGCTGACTTTTGGGGGTGCAGGTGATGATGGGCAGCCCAGACAGACCAGCAGCGTCCCCCCTGTGCCCCACTGCGTGACCCCAGCGCCCACGCTCCCACGGCTGCAGACCAGCTTGGGAAAATCTTTGCAACTTCCAGCTACAGCTGTCAGAAAACTGAGTAATCACATTTTTCTCAAGGGGATGAAATTTTAAAACTGCATGAGCCCAAAGGGCAGCAGCCTTGCTGGTTGCTGTTATTTGGTTGTGTACTGCTCCTTTTCTAGACCCCGCAGGCTCAGAGAAGGGCAGTGACCCCTCCAGACCAGCTCTCTCCAAGTCTCTCTCCATTTCTGGGAGTCCATTAAACCCATTCCTCAGTGTCCTTCCTGCTCCTGCCCCTGCCAGACAGACAGCTGGCACAGCCAGGTTTTCCCAACAGGAGAAGCACACGTTGGCACAGCTCTCTGCTCAAGACAGAACTGATGTGGACTTGGAGCCATGATGCCACCCCAGCCAGGCCAAGCTGCTTTCTACTTCTGCCTTCGCTGCCCAAATGCACAGATCCGTTACTCCTTTCCAATCCAAACCAGACTAACAAAAGATCATAATCAGGGAACTGGTTGCATTTAGAAGAAAATGGCAGTTTTTAAAAAGCACATGTAGCCAGGGAGGGATGGCCAGAACCTCAGCCCCACCAAGCCACCACTGCTCCACTGCAGACCCCAACATCCATGGCCAGCAAACACAAATGCATCAGGATTCAGATCAACAGTGTGGATAAAGCCAGTACTGGATAAACCTGGATTTAGTCAGCAAAGCAGGAGCCAGCTGAGGTGTGCATCTCACTGGTTTGCTTTAGCACTCATCTCTCTTGACACCAAGGACAAATTCCCATTAAACAGTGGGAAGGGCGAGAAAGGGAATTTCTGTGATGGAATCATAGCCATGCTGACACACTGGGATGACCATAAACAAGGCTGGCTACCAGCAGCACTGGTTACACAGCCACAGCCCAAGAATGCCAGCTGCCCCCACCCCAGCACAGCCCCACTGTGGTGCCACTGGCCATGGGGAGAGGGGGCTGCCATGGGCAAAGAGAGACCAATTCCTGTCCATAAACCCCTGACATGAAAGAAGCAAGGGAAGCCATTACCTTCTCATGGTTCTCTATTAAAATCTCAATCACAATGTTCTGGAATTTGATGTCCATAATGGCAGCCACAGTTTCCTCTTGAGGTCGAAGCAGCGTCGGCCCAAACACCACACCCAGATTAGCAACAGTCATCAGGTTCTGTTTGTGATTATCTGCAACTCTGGGAAAAAAAGAGAAAGAGAATGAAGTAGGTGATGGAACTAATCCACAGGGAACCCCCTCCCTGCCCTCCCTGCCTCGTGGCTGGCACAAGGCTCACAACCCTGTTTACATTTTTCACGCTCCTGGTGAGCTCCTTGAAGGCTCAGCCATGTGGAAAAGTACAAATTTAACTGTTGTGTTCCTGGGGAGCTCTCAGCCCCCATGAACTGACTAATCCCATAAAACCTCAGCCCCGCGCCAGCCACTGAGCCTCATGCTGCAAACCCCTCCCAGGAAAACATCTTGAATCATTAATGCTTAAAACCCTTCTGAAAACAAATTGTTGGACCTCTGACACATGCTGCTCTCCAACTCAATGAGTGACCTCATATGTTCCAAAGGCCAATTCCTTCCCAGCCATTCCAGCACCAGAGGTCAGTCCCCTCTGGCCCAGCCAGGCTGCTGGGAGGCCAAGATGGGGCTTTGCCCCCAGATCCCCATGTGTTCCCTTCTCCTGGCACAAGATGGGGACCCAGGGACACCCAAGCCTTCCTCCTCACCACCTCCACCTCTTTCAGCTCACAGGAGGGCTCAGAGCAGCTCAGCAAATGAAGCAGCTCACGCTGAGGATGGGGCACCCTGCTCGTGGTGTTTGAGGGGTTACCCTGGAGCAGCTGCAGCTGGCACATGGTCTGAGAGGGGCAAAGCCCCAGCAGCCCTAATGGGGCACGTCCTGTGCTCTGCCTCACCCTAGGGGACACAGCAGCAGGGATACAGGCAGGCATCCTGCTGCTGGGACAGCTGTGTGCCCCTGGGCACTGCTGAGTCACACAGGGACACGTGTGTGCCCCCTGGGCACTGCTGAGTCACACCTGTGTGCCCCTGGGCACTGCTGAGTCACACAGGGACACGTGTGTGCCCCCTGGGCACTGCTGAGTCACACCTGTGTGCCCCTGGGCACTGCTGAGTCACAGAGGGACACGTGTGTGCCCGTGACCTGCAGTGCAGCCCTGCAGCCCCAGGAGTCTTTCTTGTGGTTTGCTCCTGCCCTCTTCAACCAGGAAATGTGCTGGCTTCAGGCTGTGTGCTCACACAGCTGTAGCTTGAGGGAGTTTTAGTGTCTGTTCTTTCTCTTTCTCTCTCATTTCCCTGGAAATGCAGCACAGAGTGAGGCTCAGATTCACTTGCTGGACTGACCCTAATATTTACAGCCATGAGTTCTAACATCGATCTTGGGGTCAAGACATTTGTGTGCAAGCTCAGCATATTTCAGCACACTGCAAGCCCAGGGCTGGCTAAAAGCAAAGGATGCTTTCCATCCTTTTCCATCCCAATCTCACCTGAACCAGCAAAGAACTCATCCCTACACACAGCTCCTCAGGCAGCAGGCAGGGGCACATCTCAGGGGGGCTCAGGGCTGCTGGTTTAGCTTCCCCAGCAGCAGCACCAGCCCTACCCACTGCCTGGGCAAGGAGCCTCACACTGGTGCACATTTCACCCTTGGGGAACATGCTGCTCACACCCAGCCAGGCCGGCCATCCCACCCCTGGGCAGGCACAGAGCCTCTCCCCATCCCCATCCCCATCCCCATCCTCATCCTCACCACAGCCAAGAGCTCACCCAGTTGCTCATGGCCATGCCAGCACTGCTGAGCTGGGAGGGGAAACAAACTCTCCTGAGGGAGTCACAACCTCATGGAGCAGCAAGAGAGGCAGAACAGTTTCAATAAGAAACAATTTATACTAAATAATACTTAAATACTAAATAATACAAATAATACGAACAATAAATAATACTAAATAATACAAACCCACCCCCCACTCCCACCCACACCACTCACAAACCCCAATGACAGTTTTGCATTGCAAAATTGCATTTCAGACACACATTCACATGCTCCTAATTGGACAGGGAAAAACGCAGCTGCAGTCCAAATGGCTTTCAGAAGCATTAATAAAATAATAATTTTAATGATCTTCTGTGGTTAGTAAAACAATGTTCATTTATAAAAAAAACAACTGAATTGATCTAAGTCGCACAAAATTAGGTGCCTCCATTTCTCATTACCGTTACCATGTCCTACATCACTCTAATAAATTGCACTGTCATCAGCTCATTACAGGGAGGCAGCTGAGCGTGGTCCTGGCAATTATTTCAGACTGGGCTATTAATGGCTTCCCAGGCAGGACATGGTCCCACAGCAGCAGCCCGGGGCTGCCCGCTCACCCACGGGTGCTGCCCTCCCCTCCAGCACCACCCCTGCTCAGGGAGCTTTGCTCTGCCCCTGGAGCTGTCCTGCAGCTGTGCAACCCAGCTCCTTTCTGGAATAAACCTCAGGGCCACACCAACTCCTGCTCTGCAGCCCGGGTACTTTTCCAGCAATAGCCATCCCTGTACCAGGTCAGCACAGCCGTGCTCCAAAACATGATTCACCTTTCACATCCTTCAAATTCCCCATCCATTACCCACAGGATAATTCACTCTAAATTATAGCTCTTCATCATCCTTTGTACTAGGAAATAACGCTGCAGTTTCTAAAGATGGCTGTTCTCAGCCCAAAGTGGGCTTAATGCTGGGGCTCTTCAGCAGGGACTGTCAGTGCCATTCCTGAGCTGCTCTTTACAAGTTTTCCAAGCAGGCACTGTATTTTCCTTTTAACCTGCTGCTTCCTTCCAGCCCTTGATGCACTATCATTCATTTCTATGGGTCCTTTTTCTGCTCCCCACTTTGCAGGAGGACCTCCAGCACAGGAGAAAGCAACAACTGATGGAGGAATGTGCAGAACCTCCTCACTTCCCTCCTGCTCACAGTGGCTTTGGGCCTCTGGGCTGCTCCTTCTCCTGGCAGCACACGATGGTTCCCTGGGGATCAGGAGAGATCAGCCTGGGGGTGTGGGATCAGAGCCCCTTTGATCTTGGGGTCAGGGGAAGGTCTGTGCCCAGCACTGCTTCCCCAGCCAGCAGCTCCACCAAGATCTGACCCAG